AGCCCCCCCCCCCCACACACACACACACACACACACACACACACACACACACACTACTGTTCAAAAGATTGGGGTCAGTACGATTTTTTTTTTAAACGACATGTATACTTTTATTCAGCAAGGATGCATTAAATTGACCAAAAGTGACATTAAATATATTTACAGTGTAAAAATATTAAAATACAAATATAGTCAAATATAAGTATAGTAAAAAATATTACAAATATTAAAAAATATAAATATTTTAACTGCTTTTCAATTAAATAATCTTAAATATACCACAATTTCCACAAAAATATTAAGTGGCACAACTGTTATCAACACTGATAATAAGAAGAAATTTTTTGAGCACCAAAACAACATATTAGAATGATCAAATATTAAAAAATATAAATATTTTAACTGCTTTTCAATTAAATAATCTTAAATATACCACAATTTCCACAAAAATATTAAGTGGCACAACTGTTATCAACACTGATAATAAGAAGAAATGTTTTTGAGCACCAAAACAGCATATTAGAATGATTTCTGAAGGATCATGTGACACTGAAGACTGGAGTAATGATGCTGAAAATTCAGCTTTGACATCACAGAAATAAATTACATTTTAAAATATATTCAATAAGAAAACAGCTATTTTAATTCAGAATATTTCACAATATTACTATTTTTCTGTATTTTGCAGTAGTGTAGTGTACACAAACTAGGAATAGGTTACAATCATCAGATTTTATCTATATAGTTTTTAGTTGTTGTATTTTTATCTGCAGTGATTTTAGTATCATTCTTGTACTTTTAGATAGTTTGCACTGTAAAACTTGCATGTGCTTTACATTTGCTGGAACAGCATTCACATTAAAACCATTTATGCATTTGTAAGGCAGTGACAAATTAATCAAATAAATATTAGTTAGAGACTTAAATGCATTGTTTTCTATTCCGTTTCTGTTGCAAAAACGAGTCTTATCTAAAGTCCCCGGAAGAAATTCGTCTGATTGGAGTCATGTAAACCCGAAAACAGTCTGATTATACAGACTTCCTCAAGAGAGATTAGTCACCTTCACTTCTTGTCCTTCATTCAACCCACCCAACAAGTCCATTTTAAATATGTGTCCCTAATGCAAACACACTTACGTCTACAGCTGCAGTAAGAGATCTAACCTACTGTATTTTTTTCACTCAAGGGTGTGTGAAACTCAACAGAAGTGCTTACTGAACAATGCCATGACCTGAAGAGAGATGTAACTAAGAAAAGATGAACAGCACTGAACACACACCCTAACATGCCTTGGAATAGGTAATGGGAGTGGGTCTTTCCATTACCTTTAACCTGTAAAACTAGATCTGAAGAAGACTATGTTTACTCCAGTTTCAGCAAAAACACACACACACATGCTCATTTTTCTACAAGCCCATAGGTCTTAAAGAGAAACACAGTCATTTTGCCTCCAACGCACTCCTGTACCCACAACATCAAGCCTAAATAGAAATAGTGGGAAAAAATGCCCTGACAGACTCGTGTGCCCTTATCGCTCCTTTCCTTTTCTTATCTGCCCATCGTTCTGTCTTGGCTGTCTCAGCTGACAGCCTCACTCTCAACGGAATGAGCCCTGTCAGGTCTGAGATAAAGAGATTATTCACACACACACGCTCAGACATGCACTTAATGGAAATGTACTGTACCTCTCTGAGATTACGATGATCGGTCGATTTGAAAATGTCAGCTGATCTTAAAACAACGCTCAAGACAGACGCTCTCACTATATGTGATAACATTTCTTGATCTTGTATATTGACAGAATGTTTTTTTATTTGTATTACTAAGAAAGTTAGAATTAACACAGCCAAATTTGCTGTATAATTTCTAGCTTTTATAAAAAATTAGGCTTAATAAATAAACCATATTTTTTGTACATTTTGTAAACAAAAGTAAATATCCAATGAAAAATATAAATGTGTATATATATATATATATATATATTTTCTATTTTTCTATTTTATATTTTACTTTTAATATTATATATTTTTCATTAGCCCACAAGTTATATCTGATTTAAATATAATTTTCTTAGAGTATTCAAGTTAACAATATTAAAGTTAAATTGAACTCCATCAATGTTGAATTAACATGGCAAAGTTTGAATAATTTCTAGTTTTTATTGAAAATGATGCTTAAGCCTTAAACAAATATTTTTTGTAACTTCTGTTTGTAAACGAGTTAATGTCTAATTAAAAATTAGACACATAAATATAGTTCTCAAAAATTCAATGCAATTTTTTCTGTGGTGAAGCCAGTGAAAATATTGGCAAAAATAAATCTGAACTACTGACCCAATGAGGTCAGAAGAAATAATCCTGGTTTTTAAGCCCTGAAATAAAAAAAGATTGCATGGATGGATGACAAAAGAAAGAGGAAAAAAGATGAGGTGAAGAAAAGTGCCAGAGGAAAAAAGTGGACAAAAATAGACAAGATGTTCTGAAACAAGCAGTAAAACCGGCAGTGAAACTTGAGCAAGAACTCTCTGTGAGGTCACAGAGGAAGAAAAATCGAGGCATGGTCATATGCGTCTCCATGGCAACCGTGTGTATCTCTGTTTCTTTGACGCAATAAGATGGCAGATCAAACTCGACAACACTCTAACTCTTGTTCTTTCTCTCTGGCTCCACATCGAAATACTGGCTCCTTACTGCCGTGTCGTGAGTCATTGTTTAGCCTTGGTCTGCATTGTGCAATTGAACTATTGAAAGAAAGCTGAATGAGCATCACATGGGTAAATGCTGTAGGTAAAGTGCAGCAGGACTTTCAAATGCATATTCAATTCTAGAAAATGCAATTGAACATCTTCCCACAGAAAAGGGTGAATATGATTCATCCATGTGTGCACAGGTAGTTTCAATCTCTCATTTGCT